ACAAACGCCGCGCGGCATCGTCGCATTGGAAATTGCACCCGGAAATATCCCGCTCACCAGGGATATTTCCACTTATCAATTTTTGAAAATTACGAGGTAAATTTCCAGTTGAATATGCACAAGGGAAATTTCCATTAAAAAAAATTATAAACTTATGAAAATATACTTCTTACTTCCAAAGACCGTGATATAATTCCTTAAAAGTAAAAATTTGGTTTCGTAAAAAAATATATGTCAACCTTTGGGTTAAAAAGGTGTCAACTTTTGGCGAAGTGAACTTTTTTGGGTGTCAACTATTGGGGTTTTGTCACCTCTCAGGTATTTTTGTCATAATAACACAAATAATGAGAATGTAGGCTAAATAATATATTTAAACATTCAATTATGTGTTCGAAATCACGCCAAAAAATATATTAAAGCCTTGGGTTTGAAAATTTGGAAAATATGTGGTGATCATGAGCAAGGATACCCTTAACATGTCAACAATTGGGTACTTTACCTTAGTAGTTGTTGATGATAAACTGAATTGGACTGATCATATCGTCGGACGTTAATTTCACAAAGTGATGTATCTCAATAAAACTCTGATTTGAGATACGACACTTTGTGAAATTAACGATGACATATGCTCTGTGATTGATTAGATTATTCCTATGCTATGATTGCTGCAATGTATAAATGTAGAAATTATTTAACGAAAAATTCTAGATCTATGGTATACAATGCCTTCTTTCTATTCTATCTTAGGTATCTACTACCCATATGGGGCACATGTAGTCAAACTGATTTTAAGAAAGTACAAATAATACAAAATAAAGTATTGAAGGTATTGTATAATTATGATGGACTTTTGACTTACCAATACAGAAATGATATACATATTATAGGGAATTAAATATGTGTAAAATTAATATCTTACTAGAAATTGAGCGATAGACACTTATTTTTAGAATATTAAATAAGCACCAAAAATGTAATTCTCATATACTATTATCAAATGAAGTACACAACCATAATACTAGAATATTAAACAATGTATACAGAATCCAAACTAGAACAAGCATAGGTTTGTATGACCCAATCACTCAAGCCTCTAAAGTATTTAATAGATTACCAACAATAATAAAAAACATACATATTTATGTCTTTTCTCAATCAGTTCAAGAAACCATTATCTTGGGAACTTAGGGTAGAATGAATTTAGAATTTGTGTTAGATTGTAAGACTAAACTTGCATAAACACAGCTTAACTTAAGGTATTTACTCTCGAGTAGTCTCGAGGCCAGGGCTTGCAAATTAGTTACCCCAGTTGACCCTATAGCACCTCAAATTGTTTTATTTTCTTATTAAACGAACAGGAGGTTTTAAAAAAGCAGAATATGAACACTTACCTCGAATTTTCATTACTGGGGCCTTCGAACATTACTTATTGGACTTTCCGCCTAGTACTTCAATTTCCTTCCTAGGCTTTATCGTGAATTTATTCGATTAACTTTTCCGTGGAGTATATCAATGATACCATACCACTAAAAACAGAAATCAAAGGCACAAATAAAACGTAAAACGTGACCTCCGCGCCACAAGCCATATTTGGAAAGTCGGAAATCGAAAAAATAGAAGCCAAAAGCAAGAAGATGTCAAAGTCAAAGGGCCCGCCCAAGCCCAGACGCAAAAGTCAAAACATCGCATACGCTCGCGTTCGATATCGCGGTTGTTGGTTCGAAAATATTCTCGAGCGTAAGGAGTAGGGACTAAACCGTCACTATACATCGCTCTCGCTTCAAGGGTTCTCGGGTGGGTTCTTGGAGTCGAACGGCGACCGTTCGCTCAATTACTGTATTCCTTTTACACCTCAAGTTACTCGGAGCTGCTTAATGTCAAAAGCTTGAACGTTCCTTTTAAAAGTGCGTTAAGCACTCGAGTCGCTCATAGTGCATCCCCCTTTCCCCTGATGCACATAATTTGCGGCGGGTGCAAGAAGCCCTTTTAGGTAATGACGGTAATGGATAAAATTTGAATTGTGTGTTTTGGAGTGAATCCGAAGAGCTCGTTCGGTGTAACTCGATCTATAAAAGAATACATTAATTGTTATTTTGTACTTCTGTGCAGAGACCCGGACCGAAATAAAATATAGGTTCCGTTCCGGTTCACAGCGTCTTGATAAATAACGGTTCCGTTACGGTTCTGGTTCTAAGAGAAATATTTCGATTCGGTTCAGACCAATAATTTCGGTTTCAACGGTTGATACCGGTATACTTTTTCACAAATAGATAGTTCTCGTGGCTTAGACGCTACGCTATTGCTGTATTCCTTTTATACATCGAGTTGCACCGAACGAGCTCCTCGGAGTGACTCCAAAACATACAATTCAGATTTTATCATTATTTTTTAATATTAACATTACCTTCATTACCTAAAAGGGCTTCTTGCACCCCCCGCAAATTTGGTGCATCAGGGGGAAAGGGGATGCACTATGAGCGACTAGAGTGCTTTACGCACGTTTAAAAGGAACGTTCATGCCCGTATGCACCATTGCACAAATTCTCTGATTAAGACTTTAGCCGTGATCACAAAATATTTTTCATATGCACCAAGCGTTTTTTTCGCCTATTGGCAATTAACTTTAAATTGCTCGATGGCCTGGAATTTAGAACAAGATAACCGCGGCTAGTTAATAAAATGAGGTTAAGTATTTTGTTTGTTTTGGTTCCGATTTCAAATTTCATATTTACATTTTACAAACATTTTTGTAAAAAAAAAACTGGAACAAATTTGTGTGAAGTGAGCCAGGAAAAAAAAGAACTGAAATCAGGAATATGGAGGTGGAGAGACATTATTTGACAATGATTAATTTGGATAATGAAATTGTGTTAGATGGGTTTCCGTTTCCAAGGCGTTGGAATGAGAGGGAAAATTATTTTGAAGCCTTGGATGATCTGATCTATAAGCCAATGTCGTAGATCATAGATCTTCTTGAAGAGGTAGAAGATGCCCTATCATTATTATAGGGTGTAGTACCTACATTCTATGCAAATTTATGACTTGATTCTTGATTCCAATAACTAGGTAATGACTATGTATTTACTGTTTATTTCAAATAAAATGCCCTACATGCCCTGGATGTTTTGTTTGTTTGTTTATAAAATTAAAATTCATCGACAAAAACGCAGAATATGGGTCTCGCCAACCCACTGCCAACCCAAAATGGGCTTTTATTGCCTTTTATTAAAATCTATAGGAAATTTGCGACGTTATCGGTGAGTTCCTTTCAGGTGGCCCTCATACAAAATCACAATTAACTAATTTGAGTGCAAAATCCTTTGGTGCATCGAACCGACATTTTTACCGTGATTACATAATTATCCGTGATTAGCTAATAACGAAAATACGTGAAAATGGTGAATAGTATGAGGAGCTCCGGAACAGCTCCGGGGCGTTACGCGCTTATTCCTTCCGAAAAGTGTTTGTTGCACCTGAGTACTCAAGCCCAAAGTAAACCATAAATGCACGAAAGTCGGCGAATCTGTTCCTTTCAATTCGGGTTGACACACCGGAGCGAGTAGCTCTAGTGTTTCAAACTCTTGAAAGGAATACAGCTACATACTGGAAAGCAGCTTTATATCCTATCGGCGGTTCACTCTCGTACTCTATCCGTTCCAGCGGCCGCACCGGTGCGGCGTGATCCCGACAATCCGGAGCCGTTGATCGAAACGAGTCTGTCGGTGTAATGTACTCCGTCTCTGAATCTGTGTCCCTACTCCGAGTCCACACTTTTTCCTGTTCCACTGGCCGGCGCGGCGTGATCCGATTAGTTCGAGTTTGACTCCGAGTCCGTACAACGTAGACAACGCAAAAGTGGTCCGGACTTCAACTCGAACTTGGACCGGACCTGTTTATTTTGCAGTGGATCAGTTCCCACTGTGAAGATCAGTTCCAGTATTTGGCCCTGATAATAGCCAATTTTGGGTTGGCGAGACCCCATATCTGCGTTTTTTTCGATGAATAAATTTTAGGTATACAGTATACACAATCAAACAAAGCATCCTGGGCATTTTATTTGAAATAAACAGTAATAACCGTAATTACATAGTCATTAGTTACTGGAATCAAGCCATAAAATTGCATATAATACTACCACCCTATCATAAGTTAAGTTAGGGCATCTTCCACCTCTTCAGGAAGATCTACGACTATTGGTTTATAAGATCATCCATCCAAGGCTTCAAAATAATTTTCCATCTCATTCCAACGCGTTGGAAGCCCATCTAACACAATCATTATTTATCAGTATCCAAATCCTCGTCAAATAATAGGTGGTCCATCTCCATATTCCTTATTTGATTTCTCCCTGCCACAGCCCTCTACACTTACAAGCCATGAAGTTAAAAAGGCAACACCGCAATCTTACCGCCAAGTGGTGCTGTTTTATTTAACCTCAATTCCGCGTATGGTTTATTTACTTTTATTGATGATATGAATTCTTATCTCAATTACATAAAAAAGTAGTTTTCTTTGAAAAAATATTAGTAGTTAGTAAAATTATTGTAATATTACCAATATTTTGTACATATTAATCACACAAAATGCATCATATTGTACTAAAAAGTAAAAACAGTAATTCAATGAATAATATAAATATTTGTGTAAATAAGAACAGTAATGGTGGATTTATACAGACAAATAACATAAGATAAGAATAAGATAAAAATAACATAAAAGATGAATGTACACATTTGCCATAGGACATTTATAGGGTAAATAACATAAGAATAAAAATAAGGAATAAGATAAAAGATGACTATCTTTCATCTTCTTATTTTATTTTTATTTGAAAAGACAAGTGCGCATGTGTAGGACATTTGACGTGACAGTCGGGTTGACGGTTGGATTCGAATTGAGTTGACGGTTGACTCATCTGTTTTGTTTTCTGTGCGGTGCGTGCTCTTTGGTTATCGTTCTGTGTGTTTGTTGCATTTGTTGTCGAAGTCGAATTAAACAAAATGGATGATGAACATTTAATCAATCAAGTTAAAGAGTTTCCTGCTCTATACAATAAAAAAGATTCTAGATACAAAAGCAAATTAGCAAAAGAAAATGCGTGGAAGACCATTGCGGCTATTTTGGAAAGCGATGGTTTGTTCTATTGTTCTTCAACCATTATGTTCTCTATATTATCTTTATATTTCCAGTTGTTAGCTGTGAACAAAGATGGACGAGTTTGAGGGCCAAATATACTACCATTCGAAAGAAACTTAGGGAGATGCCATCCGGGTCTGGGAGTGCCGATATTCCATGTTTTTGGCCATATTATCACATGCTTAGTTTTTTGGATCCCTTCCTGCTAACGAGGAGGTAAGTACATAATAATTGATTAGGTCAATAGGCTTAAGGTAATATGACTTATGTTTTAGAACGGTGTCAAACTTCAAGCCCTCAATGCAGCCAGTTTCCTCTGCTTGGGACACTTTAACTCAAGTTTTAGAGGGAACAAGAGAGGAGCCTGAACATAGTGAATCCGACGATTTTTTGACACCTCTTCCATCCCCAAGGGAGGAATCCCTAGCGGCCCCAACTCCCCAGCAGGCGAGGATCCAAAAAACTGCCAGCGCCAGTCCTCACGTCGAACTTGAGGCGAAAAAAAGGAAAACTGAAACTGTTCAAGATGAATTGTGTAACAAAATGTCTTCCTGCATTGACACACTAAATGCAAATTTGGGGCAAAAATCCTCGGACAGGGAGTTTGCTCTAAGTCTTGCCCAAGACATGAGTGTCTTGACAAGCGAAGAAAAAATTTTTTTTAAGAGGAATGCTTATATGTTACTAACAGAAATCCTAGAAAAAAGACATTAAAAAGATTTGTTTAGTACCTACCTATATTTTTTTTTTGTGCTGGATACTTTTTCAATTTAAAATAAAAAATGTCAAACTACAAGTACCATCAATGGTACCTCAATAAAAATAAATAAAATAACAAATTTAGTTTCATTCATGTATTTTTGTCAAAATAATTAGTTAACATTGAAGTTATCAGGTACAGATCCGGCATATAATCTGTTCCATTGATTTTTTATTTCTCCTAATGGGGATATTAAATATTGAGCTAAGGTATTTCGGAGCATCTGGACCCTCTTTGCAGCATTGTTTGGTCCTGTTCGTCCAATTGAACGAAGTTTATTTTTCAGTTTTCTCCATTCGCCTTCTTTTTGCTCTCCATTAATATCATCAGAGTCTGCAAATCCTGTAGGACAGTACCTTCTTTGGGATTCGGGTATGTCTTCTTCACCCTTTTGAATGAAATTATGAAGCACTACTATAGCTTGTACAATAAGCTCACATGTTTCCACATTTGCTATAATAGTACTACGTAACCTCCTCCATCTCTGGGCCATTATGCCAAATGCATTTTCAATGCAACGTCTTGCTCTTGAAAGCCTCAAATTAAAAATGTTTTCGTGATCTTCAAGGTAGCTTCCTGCATAAGGCCGCATTATATTTTCATGCAGAGGAAATGCAGCATCAGCTACAAAGTAATCGGGAAACTGGATGTCAGTTCCTGGCAAAATTTTTGCTTCTGGTAACTGTAATGTCCCTTCAATTAAAGATTTTCCATAGCTGGACTCCTTGAATACAGCACAATCATGATTTGCCCCTGCACTTCCAATGTCCACATATGTGAACTTGTAATAGGCGTCACATGTAGCCATCAAAACTATGCTAAAGATATAATTTTCAACATTAATTATTAAGCATACTATACTATAATGATTCTTATTTTACCTAAATGACTTCTTGTAGGAAAAATATGTTGATCCTGAATATTTTGGACACTGAATTTCCACATGTTTGCCATCTAGTGCTCCGATGCAGTTTGGCATATTCCATTTCTTATAAAATTCATTTGAAATAGTTTTTAGCTTTTCTTTAGATGGTGTTTCGAGTACTAGAGGTTGCAACGTCTCCCAGAGAACTTTACATGTTTCTTTTATGATACAATGAGCTGTGGTTAAGCCAATGTAATTGTTCCATGCAATTTCTTGCATTGAGCACCCTTCAGATAAATAACTGCAAAAAGAAAAATATTGTTAGGGATTTAGTAGATGCAGTTTATTATTTAAAACATATATAAACATTAGTGAATCGTCTATACTCACTGTAATGTTACAGCTAATCTTTGTTCTGCTGAAATCGGGCACTTTGAAGGATCTTTTGTTATATATGGTCTGATAAGGTCAAGAAGCTTATCGAACAGTTCTGGGGACATCCTGGTATACTTAAAGAATTGTTCTCTGTCATTTCGCTTAGCAAATTTCAAGAGTTTGTCATATACAGAAACATTGGTCCTATTTCTGTTCATTGGCCTAACCTTAAACCTCCTGTTTCGTTTTTTCCGCAGCAAATTCAACTGGATTGCAATCGTCATGAAAGTCATGAGTAAAACCGCAGCCTCAATGTCGTCCAACATTTTCCAAAATCCAAAATTTAAACCACAAAACTCAAAACTTGAACACCATAGACATAAACAAATCTTTTATTTTTTAGAAAAATTATAAAACATAGGGTTGACACACTTGACAGTTCCAAAAACTTGGAGGTGCGCAGGCGTCTCCCGAAAGTTATTATTGGACGATTTCCAATCTTATTCTTATTTTATTTCTCGTATAAATGCATTCTTATTCTTATTTCTTATTTAATGTTATTCTTATTTTTATCTTATTCTTATGTTATGTTATTTGCTGTATAAATCCACCATAAATAATTGATTTAAATAAATATATTACTAGATTCTAAAGTGTTATAATCCTATATCTATTTTATATGTACAAGGTCTTGTCAAACAATTCTATACAACTAGCAACTACCTATCATGTTAAAAAAATAAATACTTTCTAAGAATTCGGGAAAGCTACCCTTAAAACATACCTCTATTATTATTTTTAGTACCTAGGTACATTTTTTTTCTATTTCAAAGTGGTTAGTTTTCTTTTTTTACTTGAATCTGTTTTATTTTTATGACATTCACTATTTTTAAATTTTGTGTAGTTGTTTAAAATAATATTACTCATTATCAAAGAAGCAAAGGAGTAAATTTTTTTTGAGTTAGCACCACATTCACAAATTTTGTTCAAATCAATATTAAAGGTATCGGACTCTAAAGCTAATAAAGTAAGCTGCGATAATAAATTATGATGATCATTTGTTTTCAGGAACATACTTTCAAGATCTTTGTTATTAATTATATACTCGAAGATAGCACAAAGATGAAAATAAATAAACTTGGTTTCTTGAGTGGCAATACAGAGACCCCCTCTCTGCAGAGAATTAAAATATGTATGATCCGTCTGGATGCCTTTTGCTAGAACTACTAAACTTTGACATTTATCACATTTATTATTCTTCAAAACTGATCGAGCCATTCTTTCATAGGTAGATGATGACTGACAGAAAATAATAAGTGAAAACAACATAGTTGGCATGCTATATCTTTTCTTTTTACAATCAAGTAAAAAGAGTTGATTCAATAATATTCCTAATAAGTTTTTGTACTCACAACCTTCATCAAGTTTTTTGATACCTTCTTGAAGATAATACTGAGCTTTTTTAAAACAATAAATTGAATCTAAAGAAATGTCATTAACAAAAGTGTATCGAGTCAATAAATTTTCTATTTGGGACCACCTACTGAGTTTTCTACTACTCGGTAGAATCCACATAAGGTCACTACTTGTAATCTCATTGTCTCCAACAAAAATACTTACCACTAATTCTTGGCTAACACTTACACTGGAAACAATTTTCAAATTTTCAATATCACAGTCATATCCATCACGATCAATATTTAACATATAAAAATGTACAAATGTCGAAGATACTTTACATTGCCATTTATTCAGAGTTATTTTAGTTTCAAGAAGTTTTACAAAATTTTCAAAGCTTGGAATCAGATCACTTTGAAGATAATTTTCTACAGTTTCGGTATGTCTTTTAACAATATCACTTTTTCTAGCTTCAGGATTTTTTCGGATGGTAGGGGCAGGTCTATTTAAATATTTGGGCTGGTTTTCGAAAATATGTGGTACAGCGTTGCTTTTGAGGATTGGACGTTTAAGTTTGTGTTCTCGACTTACTCCTTCTTTATCTTTGTATGTTTCAAATCTAATGATTTCATTTTTTTCAAAATGTTTCGCACACACTACAGAATTTTTTGTTACCGTATAATTATCTCGGTGTATAGCTTTTAGCCATAATTTCTGTAATTCGGAAGTTTTTGGAAATGAAAATGTTGTTTGCAGTTCCTCAGTCTTCAGGGAACTCCTATAGTTGGATTTGCACCTTGGCACACAGCAGTTTCTTGGCATCTGGAACAAGTTTAAATATCTTAGATAATAATAATATCGAGACCTATACATGTGCTCTTGCACTTTGCAAAGTGGAAACAAATATTATATTGTTTTTATTTGCTTTTACCTTAACTCACCTTAATTTTTGCTCCTGTACCGATTGCAGTATTTGCTATAAATTCACAATCAAAACACAACTAATAATGGCATAACAGGTATGAACCAAATATAAACAGTAAGTAAACAATATATTGGTGTTTCTAGCCACTTTTTCGTTTGAAAATGCACCTCACTCTAGCAATAAACAATGAAAACAATACACAAAAACATATAACCTCAATAGCAAAATAGCACCATTGGCGACGTTGCCGTTATTTCCAACTTCATGGCTTGTAAGTGTAGGGGGCTGTGTCCCTGCTCACCCTCGCCACACACTATTTTTCCAGTAATTTTTTGGGGACAAAAATGTTTTTAAAATGTAAATGCAAAAACAAAACAAAACATTCTAACCTCATTTCATTATAGCCGCGGTTATCCTAAATTCCAGGCCATCGAGCGATTTAAGTTAATTGCAGATTAGGCGAAAAAAACGCTTGGTGCATACGAAAAATATTATGTGATCACGGGTAAAGTTTAATCAGAGAGTTTGTGTAATGGTGCATACCAGGCAAATGCAAAATCCTTTGGTACATCGAATCGACTTTTTTAACCGTGATTACATAATTAGCCCTGATTAGCTAATTACGAAAATACCTGAAAATGGTGCATACAGGCATCAAGCTTTTGACATTGAGCAGCTCTGAGTAACTCAACGGGTAAAAGGAATACAGTAATCACGGTACAGCTAACAATACGGTATTTCTCATGGTTATAGTTCTCGGATACGAAGACACAAAAATTTTCTAATCCCTTAAGCTTAAAGCTTCATTCCCACTTGCGCGAAATTCGCTGTTTTTGCGCGAAATTCGCTCTTTTCTGACATTGGCTTCGACAATTTGACGTTTTCTGCGTGTATCAAATGTCAAATTGTTGAAGCAATGTCAAAAAATAGCGAATTGAGTGAGAATGAGGCATTATTCTGTTTACATTTTGACAGCTGAATTGAGTGATCTTTAGAATCGTTGCGAGTGATTTGAGTTACCTATATGGATTTTAGACTCGATGAAACGAAACAGCGACCCGATGAAACGAAACGAAAAAGCAACACTTTTTTAACCCGCTTATATTAACACACAACACACAACAAGAACCTGGAACAAGCCAAGTGAGCTGGAACAAGTCTGGATAAATCTGGATGAAGTCTGGAAAAGTCTGGAAATCTCTGGAAACGTCTGGAAAGAGCCTGGAATTTTCTGGAAAGGGTCGGAAAAATTCTGCCAAGGGTCCCAAAAGACCTGGGGATCATTTTCCAGAATCCGGATCAGTCTGTACAAGTTAGGGTGACCATACGTACAGCATTTCGCTGTATTGTACAGCATTTTCAAAGTCTGTCCAGCATTTGATTTTGTACAGCAAACGTACAGCGATTCAAATCCGATCATAATTAAGTTTTTCTTTAAAAAAAAATACGAAAAATTGTCCGTCAATAACTAACGACATTTCTACATTTGCGATTTACGTCATTTACGCCATTATCTCGC